TCAATCAGACTCAATAAAAGCGAAACTATTTAGTACCTAATTAACACTCACTACATTCCACATTGTAGTTTTTAATCACATGCAACGAGACTTCACACGCATTCTTAATATATAAAGAACTTTTAACAATCTATCTTTTTAGAATTTGAAAATGATGAGCGAGCCATCGAAACGTCATTCAAAATTTTTATCGTTGATTTTTATTCTTAAACCATTTTTCTTTGTAACAGATTTAAAAAAAAAAAAAAAAATTCTGTGCTATGTCCAAGTGATTGCTTAAGACCAGATGCTCTATTTCGCTCTGCCAGTGATAGGCAGCATACGCAAATTTAGAAAGCTGTATTTAAATTTCCTCCAATGATAGCGGCGCAGTTGCTTTTTGCATTCACAAAATTGAAGGGACTTTTTTGACAGTCTATAATGAAATGCTAAAAGGAATTAATTGAATGGTACCTTTGCTGCGAGAGTCACGTTTATAGACAATAAAGTGCGTCTTATCTTCGTGTCTACTCCTATAAGCTCGGTTTTTGTAGAATTGAGGGCTGTCAACAGTTCGTTTTTATTAGCCGATATCTGTAAGAAAAGCAAACCGTCACTTTTCAGTTTGAATTTATTAGTATTATTATTATTATACTTGTTCCACTATCTGTCTTCTCGTTGGCTAAGAGCCTACAGTTATTTTTGGAAATCAGCGCAACCTACAGATTCTAATACTTAGTTATCTATAAATTACTTATCTGTATGTTGCGCACGCAATGCATGATTTTCAAGAGCAATGTCAAACTGTGTTCCATGCGATGCTATGTTCCCCTTCCATGTATTTTCTTCAAAACAATGAGTAATACAACAATTGCTATATTCGGTTTTTGTTATATCCGAAATAATCAAGGTCGAGGTAAGTGTAATCAGCCAGTTATTATAGGAGCCGAAGGCGGGGCTGATAACACTTACCTCGACCTTCATAATTAACATTTATTTCACGGGTACGTGTTGGACATGAGATGGTAGATTGCCAACGAGGCGCGTACTGCCGAGTTGGCTAGAACCATCTCATATCCAACAAACGCGAGTGGAATAATTGTTTTATTAAAAACGCCTACAAAACCTCGAGAATTCTCCCCGACTTTATTTGTAAAAACAAACGATTTTCAGCATGTTTTTAATTTTGAGCAGACGCGTTCAGTTAATATATTTGATGTATCCCGACACGAAGTCGAAGGAAATAGCACGAATCGAGGGAAAACAAAACTAACTGGTTTCCCGAGGGACCTGACATTAAGTGTTTTCTTATATTTCCAGACTTTCACTTCAACAGCAACAGAAGAATAACCGGAGCGAATCAAAACAGTCGACTCAGTACTTTAAAAGACACAAATTCAATTTTGCGCAAAACCACTAAATGAATGATTTACAAGGCACTTTCCGTGTATTATCTGCATCTTTTTCCCCACTAGCTGCTGTTTCTCTTCTGGGATAACGTTAAAGATCCTTGCTTTTTAGCTTAAGGCATCGTGAAGTGAAACACCACTCTTTTTATGCGATGCGGTTATGGATCGAGTATCACGTATAACCATGCTAATCAGCTTCCATATCTGCTATTAATCTCGAGCTGTTCCCATAACTCCTACACCACGTTTATCCTGTTGTTATTTCCGAAACAATTACACTTACCTCTATAGTTATGTCAGTCACTGTTTCATTGAGTCTGCCAATGTTAACTTGAAAAGTCGTCAGAGATGTCGACAACAGATTTGTCACAGAGTCGAGTATATCGATCTAATTCAAAATTTGAGACAGGCAGTTTAACTAAACATAATTTTGACAGTTCATTATTTGCATTCTTTCCTTTCCTTTTCTAAAGCCCAAGAAATATCAGATCATTATAAGTTTTCTGAAAAACTGCCATCTACCCCTCCCCTAAGCCAACATTAACAATCTTTTTTCACTGAGGGCAACTTAAAGGAAGGGTAGGTAGGCAGTTTCCCAGAAACGTACAATGATCCGAAGTATTATTGTTCTTTCTCAAAAGAGATACAGTACATTTCAAAAAAAGGATCGATAAGTTAATTATGTTTGATATCGTTTGCCTATGACATTTCAATAAATTTTATCTTATTATAGAAACTATTAGGCTCAACAATTCTGGTGTTTAAGGTGAAAGGTTAGAGGTTTGTGTATAGTGGAAAGAGCACTTAGCTTATATATATCGAGCTAGTTTGCAGACTCTCCGCTCAAATAATCAGAAACACTGAAATGATCTAAACAGAACATAACAGGATTAAAGACCCCATGCAAAAGGCAGTAGACAAATCTATTGGCTATATTTACAAGCGTGGCCGTGGATTTGAAATCAGGAAGGCCGAGAGCAAATCCAGCCGATTAATTTAAGTGTCCAGAGCCAGACTCGAACACGGAACCACGGGATTAGTATTCCAACCGTCGTTGGCCACGCTGCCTTCTTAGTACTGTCTATAGATACGCTTACCATTAACATAGTATAAGCTACTGTATACAACAATAACTGATGCTTATGCATACCCTGTTTTTGAGAGTGGAGTTAACTTCCTCCAAAGTAGCCTGTATATCTGAATCTGCTGCTAGTAGCTCGATTTTTGTTCTGTTAAGATCAGCGGTCAACAATCCCACTTTTAAGGATATCTGTAAAGAAAAAATGTCATTATTAAGGCTTCATTCTTTGAGGTGTTATGAAATAACTGCTAGGGGTGGTAATTAGCGTCACTTACCATTTACATTGGAAAACCGGAAATTGCGATTGGAAAAACAAATGGTTTGCGCCATTTTGGGGGGTAAGCTTAAGGAAATTTCGGCTGTGATATGAGGCGATTTAATTTTTCTACTCTTTTTAGTCTGTTCAGCTGATTTGGATATACCTTGTAGCGGGTTGTTCTTCAACCGAGTCAAATTTTATATTTTTAATCAAGTTTATGCACAAGATTTCCACCCGGATGGTTTACGTAACTGGTAATTACGCGCCCCAAGTTTCAAGTCTTGGGGAGCGTTCAAAGTATTTTCTCGACAAACCTGATCTTTTAATGTCTGATTAAGGTTATTAACGTCGAACAGTAAAGCGGAGACCGACGATTGCAATGTGACATCAGTAACATTCAACTCAAATTTTAATGCTTTTATATCGCGATCCAGCTGTAAAAAAAAATAAAAAATAAAATAAAAAATAAAGTTAATTGAAAAAAAAAAAAAAAACTTTGGGATAATATAAGCGCCATCATCATCATTACCGCCATCGTCATCATCATCAGTATCGCGCAATAGACCTGGAAAGGAGTTCTCTTTTCCTTTCCCGCGATCCC